CAGATAGACATTCTTCTGGTATTCTTTGCTTTCTGCCAAGATCCATCTAACATTAGCTATAATATCCCTAGTACCATGACCTCTTGTAAATCCAGCCCGCACATCTGGCAGTTCTCTGCTGACATACTGTTCCAAACGGTTTTGGATTATTTTCTTGCACAGCAGGGTATAGTAGGGAAAACGGTTCATTTACAGGCCATTACTCCTGGAAGCTACTGTTCCCAAAGGACGGAGAAGTTCAAGTTCCGGTCCGCGTGGGTGTGGCACCTGGTATAGATGGGATCTCCCCTGGGCTGACAACTGTATGGTCTCTTAGGGGGAATCAGGAGCAGCAGGGAAGGAGTTCCCACCCTCAAGGAGCTAACAATACTGCTGAGACAGCTTTGTTGTTGTTGTTCAGTGCCGCAGAGTCAAGTAGGACTCCTAGCAACCCCAAGAACAGCAGATCTGAACCCTGTTCTACCCCGCACCACCCACAGCTTGCACATTATGTAAGAACTAGTCAGCATCATGCAAATATTGTAGCACACGCATGTCTCTAAGTTACAACAGGTTTTTAACGTGTGTTGCTGTTAATTGCCATCAAATTAGAACTGACTCATAGCTCACACCCCAATGGGTTTGCCCATCTTTCACCTGTGGAGCAGCTGGTGGATTCGAACCACCTGCCTTTGGGTAGGCAGCACAACTCCTTGCCCCCTAGGCCAACAGAGCTCCACTTAGTATTGCAGAAGTAGATACAACGTGTTACACAACTGATCCTTATGCCAGTAACACCCTGAACAGTCTACTAGGAGTGCCAGATACATGCGCCTCGGTTCACATGGTCTAACATAACCCCAGATTCCAGAGCATTCTTAAGAAGCTCAGGGACTCCGAAGTTATGGGGACAAGAGAGAGCAGAGGTGACCTGCAGCGCTGGCTCCGTAACGTTCCCAATAAATACTGACTGAGAGATGAATGCCACGGACCGGGGACACTGAGGTAATACCTGCCCTCGAGAGTTCAGCATGGTCCGGGGAATGAGGGACAAGGTGATGGAAGTGACAGGTGGAGGTGTACAGAGCGGGCAGGGACGGGGGCCACCACATCCTGGCATGGACCCAGCACTTCTCTAATACAACAGGCCAAGACTTCTGTGGGCCCCCCGTGAACCCCTCAGGGCCTGAGGAACCTTTTTCCAGGGCAGGAGCCTAATTGGCAGTAAAATGCTCTTCAAAAGAGCAGAGCAAACAGATTATTTTCTCTGCAAGAAAATTAACATCACAGCACCTCATATAATGCTGAGCACACAGCAGGCATTCAATAAATGCTTGCTAAATTAATTCACAAAGGGCAGGACTCTGTTGCATTCTGCTGTAATTTGGTCAGATATGAAAGGTAATTCTTAAAGGGAGGAAAAATAATTGTGAAAGTCATTGAGCTCGTCCTTGCCTGTCAGTATCTGTCCTCACGTGCTGACAGTGTCTGTCCTCGCGTGCAGTCTGTCCTCACAGGCCGACTGCCTGTCAGACGCTGACAGTGTCTATCCTCACACACTGACTGTCTTTCCTTACAAGCCGACAGGGTCTGTCTTCACACACTGACCGTCCTCACACACTGTCTGTCCTCACACACTGTCTGTCCTTGTACACTGTCTGTCCTTGTACACTGACTGTCCTTACACACTGTCTGTCCTCACACACTGTCTGTCCTTGCACACTGTCCTCACACACTGTCTGTCCTCACACACTGTCTGTCCTCACACACTGTCCTCACAAACTATCCTCGCACACTGTCTTTCTCGCACACTGACTGACTGTCCTCAGACACTGACTGTGCTCGCACACTGTTTTTCCTCACACTCTGTCTGTCCTCACACACTGTCTTTCTCGCACACTGACTGTCTGTCCTCACACACTGTCTGTCCTCGCACACTGACTGTCCTCACACACTGTCTTTCTCACAAACTGACTGTTCTCGCACACTGACGGTCTGTCCTCACACAGTCTGTCCTCACACACTGACTGTCTTTCTCACACACCAACTGTGCTCACACACTGACTGTCCTCACACACTGTCTGTGCTCACACACTGTCTTCACACACTGTCTTTCTCACAAACTGACTGTCCTCACACACTGTCTGTCCTTGCACACTGTCTGTCCTCACACACTGACTGTCCTCACACACTGACTGACTGTCCTTGCACACTGACTGTCCTCACACACTGACGGTGTGTCTAGAGAATGGACTGTTAATGTGCTGGTACTACGGCTGGAAGCACAGGTGGACTCCTGAGTCAGCCCAAGCAGGCCGGCTGGTGGGAGCCACCGACAGGACTCACCTCCTTGATGCGCACTCCCTTCTGCCCCCTGGTGGCGCTCAGCAGCAGCTTCCTGAGCTGCTGGTCACCCACCGCCTTTGGGAGATTGTGCAGGCAGAGCCTGGTCTGGGAGACAAAGATATTCTGGTCCTTGAGTTTCTGGTGCTTCAGGAGCTCAAACTGAAAGAACAACAAATAGTTAACAATCCAACCTTGAAAAAGGCAGGCTGGTGATTGAGCAGAAGGAATCACGACCCCACTGAATAGTCAGACACAGGGGAAAAGGCTCGTCAGCCTGCAGCCTTAGAACGAACGCCGCCCTGGGCAGGTTCGCAGAGGTGGTGGGGGTGATGATAACAGCAATGGCTCAGGAGTCAGCCCCGAACGAGAAAGCTAGCTGAAACTGCAGCACTTTTACAGACAATTGTTAAGCCTCATCTTTTTTCCATCCACAAAATAGAACTGTGGATCCAAGTATAAATTAATGCTTATGACGTGAGACCTAACTCAGATAATATTCATGAAATCTCCAGCTCAAAACCTGGCCCAGAGCAAATAGTAAATAATACTGAAGTTAACATCTATGTCCAACCCCTTATTTACCCACCAACTCAAACCAATTATCTAGTCCTTCCAGAAGGAAATGGGATTATTTAAAGAATATTTTTCAGAGACTAAAGTCTCATCTCAATGCTGCCACCCTGAGGCGAAGGAATGTCCCTGCCACGGAAAGGCTGCCACAAAACTCAGTCCTTGGAGACCTGTGTCTAAAAGGAAACGGCAGCCTTCTCCATCAGGACTTGTTTTGTTTAAAATAAACAGAAATAAAGCCTTACATTTTTCTCTCTCTTAGCAGATCTTAATCGCCCTGATCCGTATGTGTGTTAGAGGCACCAACAGATGAGAGATAAATGAGTTCTCTGAGAATGAAGGCTGAAGAGAAGCAGCCTGGTGCCCCCTCCCACTGTCCTGGGCAGCCTGGGACTGCTGTGAATTTACAGAACATATGTACACTCCAGTGAGCCTTTACTAACAATATTAGTTCTGAGAAAAGGAAATGTCACCATGCCATTATGATCAGGAAAGAGCAAGTCATGCTCCAGATCTCAACCATCAAACAGTGGAGAAGACAGGAATAGAATCTGTGACACAAAACAAGACACCAGGTCTTTGCTGTCACGGCATCTCCTCTGTTCAGACTCTTTCACACTTTAAGTGCCATGGCTAATCTCTAAATGGTTACACATCTTTACCATTCTGGACTGGATTAGCTTTTTCACGATAAACTCTATTAGTGTTTTATTGTTAGGCGCCATCAGGTCAGTTCCAACTCATAGTGACCCTGGGAGACACAAAACAAAACACTGCCCCGTCCTGCACCGTCCTCAGTCACTGCTGTGTGGGCTCAACCCAGCTCACTGAGAACGTGGACGATGGACAACAGGGCTGAGGAGCTGAAGCCTCTGCATTCTGGTCCTCATGAGGGTCGAGTACATGGGAAAAGAAAAACTACTGGGGACTAACACCACCAAACTGAAAAGACACTTCACGGCATCAGCTGGCTGTTCTGATGCCACAAATGGAAAACTCCCAAAATAAGTATTTTTCTAAAATGATCCTAAAATCCAGACACTAGCTCCACCCACCAAGCAAAAAACCCTGTCATTGGCATTACCTTCCAAGTCCCCAGTCTACTTCCTTCCCTAAGAACTGCAGCCCACACTCATCCTCCTTACGGATGTGGTCATGCATTTATTCTGACACCTGATTATCTACACACAGCTCTCGTCTCCAGTTTTTACTGTATCCCTCACAGTATGCTCTTCTGCAAACACTGCTGAGCATTCAGAAAACAGAGGATAAGAGCCATTCTTCTGACAGCATGAAGTGCTAATGTATCTGTACAGCGCTGGATTAAATGCTGGAGCACCTGTGTGTTGTTCTAGTACGACTGTACACTGGGTCTGTGACCTCTACTGGGCTCTTTAGTACTTGACATCATCTAGATGGCATGGGGTAGGAGGGGTTCAGACCTGTTGTTCACAGGGTCTCGACGAGATGTACTCGACTCAACAGCACCTACCAACAATAGTGTCCCCTGCTGCTATCAGGGAGCTCTGGTGGCCTTGCAATAAAAAGCTGTGCAGTCAGCCCAAAGGCAGGTGGTTCAAATCCACCAGCTGCTCTGCAGGGAAAAGATGGGCAATTTACAGCCCATCCTGTGCAATTTACAGCCTCTGAAAAGCTGCTGGAGGCTCAACTATGAGTCAGTTTAGACTCGACGGCACACAAGGATCATCTGCCTTCAGTGATGATTTTCTACTGACTTACATAATCAGCCATGCGGACACAGAAGGCTGGAACCTAAGCTACTCACCCGCTCTCTCTTGGCCATGTCGGCAGCGCTCACCCCCTCCGCAGCCTTCGTCCCAGCACGAATCACTGCAGAAAGTGGGAAAAAGGCCAAGACGTCACCAAGGGAATTTTCAACTGAGCAACAAGAGGAATGTGATTTGAATGATGCAAACTGTGCACAGGGCCCAGAGGACTGTGCTGGCCAGGACATGCTGGCATTTGGGTGGGTCCAGAAATAGGCTACAGGGCTAAGGACTGGACCCAGGGCCGCTCTCAAGGACTACAACTGTAAACATATTGTTCGTTTGTGTCTCTGCTCTCTGTTCCTCCGAGGCACTTCACAGACATACCCAGAGTCAGATGGGAATGCCTTCGGGACGTCTGGAAAGTAAGTACAATTTAGGTATTTGGAAAACAACTAGCTGCACCCATACTCGCCCTTGGAATGTGGCTGCTGGTCCTGCACCTGGGGCCCTTACCCATCAGTGAGAGAAGCCAGCCTACAATCACACCCCCACGTATAGACCTGGTGCCACAGCCCACGCAGCCAGCAGAGGTGGCCTCATACATACCAAGTGACCTAACAGAGGGCTGCTTTTCTTGGAAAAGATAATTCCTAACTTACTGACATTAAAGGAAAGAGGACGGGTGCCTATTTTAAAATCATAAACAATCTAGAGTCATTTCAGTCATTATTTTTCAACTCCTTTAGAAACCGTCTTCTTAGAAATGAAGGCATGTGGCGGTCATTTGACTTTCTCCTCTCTCTCTGCTCTCCCAATCTGCAAATGCAAGGGTCTGAGGGCAAGGGGCAGACATGTGTTTGGAACAGGCCAACCTATGAAGGTAAGAGTTTCCTAACAGAAAGCCACAAGTGTTGATGGATGAACAGCAGAGTACAGTCGGTGGGGATGTCTGGGTCCCAGGGCTCACGTCACCCTCCACTCCACTACTCACAGCCTTCTCTGGCCAGATAGAGGTTCCGGGTGCCTGTCGGCTTCTTCACCTTCTTCGTCTGAAGCTTTGCAGCTTCATCGCGGGTCACTGCTAAGTCAATCTTGAGCTGACGGCCATCAAGTTTAAGCCCCACACCCTGCAAAAGATTGGTACCTAACAGCTGACAGGAAGCGCCAAGGACAATACAGCCAGTCTCAAGTTTGCCAAAGAGCCCAACCCCCAGGATGTGCCAGCCCAGCTGGTTACAAGTGGGCCACTGGGCCTCACCGCATTCAGGAGAGCTGTGCAAACAGCTGTGTCCCCAAGGCTGCCAGCAGAACATAATCTATTTTATGGGAGTTGATTAGTGCTTAAATTGGCCCAAATTCTGGAAAATGATCTGTGAACAGGCAAATTTTTAATATTCCAAAGAAAGCTGACGAAATGATCAAGTGCTAATGCTATCAAGAGAATTTAGGCAATAATAGCAAGAAGGATAATACAATATCCCCAAACAACTATCATTTTGTTTTAGAAAATATACTGAAAAATTCCCATCATCCACACACTTTCTCATTTACTTCACTTCACTAACAGCTTTCACTCCCTCTTGTCCAGTCTCATCAGCCTAGACGTAGACATGATCCAGACACAGCAGATATTAAGACACACCTGCTTCCTCACCTGTAAGATGGGGCTAATTTCCAAGCTATCTCACAGGGCTGACGGAAGGATTAAACAAGGTAATG